CATGCGTTGTGCGCTAGTGCGGAATCAGTCAAGTACACAGACAGAAAATTTGGTTTTCACCAATGTAATTTTATTCGGATATGCCAATACAGACACATATTGACACGGTGTTTGTGTTGTAGACTATTCAATAATGAACAAGCGTCAACGGATAGATATTAAATATTTTTATAGCGTATTTTAACAATCTTTGGCCATATATGATGCGGTGATAACTATTATAAATGTAAACTTCGATTCATGACAGGTCATGTATAATTAGTGTTTAGTTTATCTTACACGGATAGATACGAGTTTAAAAAATTTCACAGCAAATTCGCACTTGAAAAATTTATTCATTCCACTTTATCGCATTGCTGAAAGGTTTATGATGGAACCGCGAAGCCAAACAAAGCTTTATTATGAACGCATACAATACATAAGCACTCTAATATATTTACTCAATAAAATAAAAAATATAGTAGAAATTTTTTCATAAATTTAATTCGTATCTGTGAAAGAGAATGAGAACAATGGAAAATATAGCGTCGGTGAGGCGAGAAGAGTCCTCGCAGCATCATATCAACCATATTTAATAGTATGCATACTTATGAACCTCTGAAGTGGTCCTTTCACCATGTTCAGTATCATTGTACTCGCCATAAATTTATTAATACTCATGTTGTCAGCAGCTGGTACCTGTATTTGTGAAGGCGGCGTATGGTATTTGTCCAAACGGGAGGCTATTATCAGTTTTAATATAAATTTTGGAATTTAAGGTGGTTCGTTGATAAATTCATCATTATTAATATATGAATACTGGATATTTTAACAACGGAAATAAATTTCAATTCGTTTCCTTATTAAAATTCAACCTGCAACAAATATTATTTGGTTCTGGCTTGTAAAGTAAGAAATTCATACATTTTCTATGCCCTGATTTATTATGTACATTTGCTTAAAATTGAGTTCGCGATTTCACATTTCAAAAGGATGATACTATATTCGCATACGGAAGTCATATGCATATACAAGCGATCTAAAAGCTGCATGTGGTCACATTTGAACCACGGAGATTTCAGTAGATACCGGTTGAAACATCTTGGTACAAATACAAATTCCCAACAAGCAAATGTAGTTGTGCAAACACGTTGGAAGCATTAAATTCGCTTCGTTGACTTCATACTACCAGCAAAGCAACTGTGTTGATTACAAGCGCACAAAAATTTTTATGTTTTTTTTTGTCATTTGCTGTATACCAGAGTTATATAAGGGAATTTTTGCCAAACAACAATTTATTGCGGATAATAAATGTGTGGTGACCTCGTTCAAGGCGCGTCTTCTGTCGCCTGTTCCATACTTAATTAATATACTGATTTCATACCGTCATATCGCCACCTAGTGCTCTTCGATTAAAATGAATTCTACCCAACGACCGGAACAAGACCAACAGTTTTTAAGGTTCAAATATTCACGTATTCCCCAGGTTGTCATAGTGATTTGCATAATTTCTTAAACAAAAAATGATATATATATTTTTCTACTCTAATTCCTATGTATAATCTCATCTGAAACGACATAAAAATACCATGACGTCATTATAAATAACATTGTGATTTTTGTGTTTATTGACCACCAGGTATGAAACATAAATTTTTCTATTTTTTTTGTACATTTTTGTGTATGGCCGAATACAAATTTTAATTTTTTTTAATTAGCGGTTGATCGAACACGTCAAATTTTTGTTGTTATTTTCCTTCAATCATGACCGCATGCCAATAAATTGAAGCGCGAACGTTTGAAATAAAATCACAGTAAATATTTCAGTTTATAAAACTTCTTTGACGGAATTATTAATCAGACATAGTGGAGAGAGAGAGGGAGAGTTAATGTCTATTCGCTTTTAACAAACTTTTTTTCAATACTTTGGTGTAGACAGTTTCTTGATTAACTTTTTTCTTTCTTCGTCAAAAAATCAAAATAGGTTTTTTGGGTATAACTATAACGACCTTATACTTTTATGGAAAAAATAACGAATCAAAAAAATAACGCTTATAAGATAATTTCACATTTTGTATTTATGTCAGAAATGCACCAATTCTAATGACATGGTAGTAACGGACATTCCTAGTTTTCATTTATGTGATTACACAAGTTGAATTATAAACACTAAACGCCACTTTTGTTTTTTAATCTTATCATTACGTCATTGGATATTTCTGTCAAAACACAGGAATTAAAGGACATATCCATTTATAAAATTGACTTATTGGGTTTATCGTTAATCTTGCATTAAAAACTTCAACAAAATAATTAATTCATTAATGGATCACGTGACTTGCCTGTGTTCAACTACTCTCCCAAGAGCCTTACAAGAACTTCATCATTTATTCATGGCAACTAAGAAAGAAATATGTAATCTTGGACGATGATCGTGGACTAGGCTGTTACCAAGTGAAAACAAAGCAACGTTCTCAGTAGATTGGCCAATGAAAATTTAAGTGACTACTAATCCAACCACAAATGAAGATAATTCATGCACTTGAATAGAAAATAAAAACTTGACTTGAAATTGATGAAGCACGATCGGAACGAGCAGTTCATGCATTATTCCCAAATGAATAAAAGCAGTTAACAGCGTTTGTTAGGAAGAGATGCAAGTCAAATAGAATTCTGGATTCATCTTATAAAACCCCTCTTTTTCGGGTATGCGAACAAAGTAATTTTTAGTGGTTAAATTATATTTCCACAATTAATCAGAAACACCAGTCATACTGCATATATCTTGAACCGGAAAAAGATTTATAGATGCAATGGAATTGTCATAAAGTTGTATATATGACGAGCTTTCAGATTTCTCTTCCAAATTGGCAGACCGTAGCGTTAATTATACATACCATAAGATAATAAATACAAGATTCAATTTACCTAGATGAATTCACGAAACGTATAATAAAGAATAAAAATCAGACTACCAAATTATCACCGATCATAATGAATTTATTATATTCAAGTTTCTACTCTCAATGGTAATCGAAAAGTGAAATACTGCAGTATATTCATTGATCTAATAGTCAAGAGTGAAATTTTAATTGAGTTACGGGTGATGTGCAGACATGTATAACGGAGTTTATAAAAATTATGATAGAAAAAGTGTCAGCCCTACATTGATACAGCGAAAACATATTATCTATGGATCCGTGATTTTTTTCACATAATACATATTAATACTGTATACATCATATGTCATTCATTATGCTTCGACAAACTGACTGAATAATACCATAAGAGACATCGGTCAACCTTCAGATGGCTATTCTAAACATTATATTACAAACTTAAAAGGGCTAAAATAAAATCCGCATTTTATACGCCCCGTCGCGCGGGTTTGAAGTTGACCTGAAAATATATACATGAACTATTGACATTGTAAAAAGTTCGATTAGACTTTTTTTCTGTCAAATAAAATCAACTCTCACTAATAAATTTTATCCAGAAGAGCATCTACAGAATTGTAAATGCTAAATGATATGAAATACCTTCAACCAGATAAGTTTTCTAAAAAGAAAGCACAGTTTCGACCAATCATATTTAGTTGTTACTCTCCTTTGAAGTTGGGATAGTACTGACATGGGAAAACTACTGCCCGTGGGCCAAATACGACCCGTTGGGTAATTGAATCTGGCCCGCCTAATGATGCCACAACCAAACTAAAATCAAATTTTGATGTTTTCGCTGAAAAATAGCTTCAAGAATTTGTTAAGATTACGATTAAATTTAGTTTTGGCACGAGGTTTATTATTTTCCACTTTTGATTTTGTAACACTGTAAATATTGTTCAGAAAATGTAACTTTTTGCGTCACACTTACGTGGCCCGCCAGTCTAGGTGGGCAGGACTTTTGGCCCCTGGTTCAAAAACCTTGCCCACCCCTGGGCCATAGAAGAATCGAAGCAATCACTGAGGCAGTGATGTATACATGACACCTTCCATCGTTGCACCAGTTAAATAGTTAAAGGCTTTCTTTATAAATATTTTCCTGTTTTTGAAAACGATGGCTCGCTAAAGAGAAAAAATTTACTAATGAGAATACTTCAACCAAACCTAATCGATGACCCATGTCGACACTGGGAAACGCAAGTTAATAGGGATCAGTGATGGGTCAACGTAGGGCTTCTCTTACGAACAAGGGCAATGGCGAAAATGAACAAAAGCTTTTTTATATGAATAATATTAATGAAACCATTCAACCAATTATGCTTTTAATGACATTCTGCAGTGATCGAATAAAGTTGCCTGGAAGCATTTCAATAAAAAATGGACATTAGGTACGGTAAATATCCAATTTGTAGTACAAATGATGGTCGTTTGACAAATAAGTGGCAACAGCAGGAAATGTCATTCGTGTCGGACTCAATGTAACTCATTTTGGTCACGCGGAATTAGCAATAGGAGAAGTTTTGTAAAAAAGTGAGCAGTTTTTTTGTGCAGAGCACTTAATTTTGTCAACGCCGCGCAACCGACGCATGGGATTTCCATTATCCACAATCAGTCATATTTGCTTTGGTTTCCTCTTGTTCAAAATATCATCTCATTCCTGTTATGTCACTGTATATTAATGTTTTCTTGAAGCAAATTAAAAATGAATGTTTCAAATTTGACCAATTTTGAATTATTATGTATTGTTGAATGTTAACCATGTTGATCGTATACAAACAGGTAGAAGTCATATGGCTGAGGTTCATTTTGAGATAAATATCGTAAACTATTAGGTATATACAAATAAGATGATTATATGGTCTCAATCGTTTCTAACAAAACGGCTAGTTAGGTTGCCAAATATAAATCAGGTGTTGATTTTAGACAAGATAATATAGAAGATGAGTATCGATACCGACTATCAAGTGTATATTATGTTTCAAACGTCCACAGCGTGAATGAAAACTGGTTGAATTTGCTATTTTCTTTTCTATGCGTATTTTGAATTGTCCAGTTTTGTATTAAACAGAAAAATAAACTTACCTGTTTTCGAATACATTCATTTTCCCTCAGTTGTTACATCTGTCCTCTTGAAGCAACAAAACTTTCGAACCCCTTCTCATACCTTTTATTTTAACCGGAGAGTAACTATGTTTCAGGTAATATAAAATAAAAATGCAGATAATATATAAATTTTGTTCAGTTTTTAGAAAAAATTTTTTATAGCTGTTTCGAGGATTATTTTGTCAGACAACTCACAAATTACTACCGCAATACCAAATTAAATTTAGTTTTGCTTTGCGCTGCTCCACTTATGGACTTTCGAATACGGCTAATTTAGAAAAAGCATAAAATCAAATGATTTTTATTAAATATTTTCATTGTACTCTTAATACCAAATTTTAAGTTTGGTGTAAAGTGAACTTTTATAAAATAGCTACAACTATGCTAATGTCGTCTCAGTACCGAACCTTAAAATCAAAACGAATCTATATTTACCATTGTTTCAAACGCCTAACTTAACCCATAAATCAATAGGTAAAAATCTAAAATAAAAGTCATACTAATAATACACTTGAATGCAACACTAACTGAATTTCTACACACATCGAATGAATATTACACTTGATTTATTCCATTCAAACTGAAAAGCTTGTCGAAAAAAATTGATATTTATTAATAAATCTTTTTGAGGAACAGGATATTCCATGCCAGTAATGTAATATTTAATATGAAAATAATCACATCTACTATGGCGCCATTATTGCATCTTTTTCTATCTCGAAAGTTTCGGCCTGGTACATTGAACTCATTCAATGGTAATAAATCGACAATAAACATTCCATGACTGTACAAGATCCGAATCAGCCGTTTCCATGTCCCTTGAGACGAAACATCTACGAATAGGAATGATCCAGGAGTCACGAGACCGCGCACGACGTATTTAGTAGAAGCCATCGGTGGTGGCATGTCGCGATCTAAAGTTTATGGTAACGTGATTCAATGTTGAGAACTTTTAACGTTCGGGCTTGTTAAAACGTTTGTGCTAATCAGTACTAAATGACAAATATGAAAGCACTAAACAAACGACAAACACACACTTCAAGAGGTTCTTTCGATCCGTATCATTTGTTTTATACTCCTATATATATACTAATGAAATTAGATTTAATTTTCTAGACAAAAAATTCGACCAAATTAATTTAGTTGAATTGTGACTGCAAGAAAAAACTGTTAATTATTATATTTTATGGAATTCAAAAAATTCATCAACTTTTTTCTCGGGGAAAATATCTCTTCTAGTCAATAAATGCCTCAGTATAAGCGGCCGGACGTAGGCCTAATCAGATAAATCAAATGAAACTGCCATGCCTCTGTACCAAGTTCGTCATTGCTCATTAATTCATGATCAATGTATGTTCCTCGAAACCACAGCTAAGCTGATGTGGTCGTACTTGCTTGACTTTAACCTCGACCCGACATTTCGTGGCGTACAAAAGTTGCTTTCGGAGTCACCCATAATTGAATTTGAAGGATATGTTCAAGTCGTAATTCATTTCTTATAGATCAGAGTAAATTACAGCAAGACATGCCAACTTTAATAGTAATTGTGCGTTCTAAGTAGAAAATTTTACTTCATTCGAACATAGCCTAACATTAACTGTCAAACTAGTTGGAGGTAAACTAAGTCGGCGATTCGGAACAGCTATTAGCTTATGTTTTATTTCAAGGTTTTGAGAAATCATATTTTCCTAGTAGTTTGGTTGGAAAAATCTAAAAATCACATAAGGCCTAACTAAAACAGGTACAGCTTTGAAAATCAGACTAAACGATGGTCCTTGATCCATAACAACAGATATGTAAAAAAAAATCTATTTCTGAAAAACGTGACATACCGTAAGCTACTTTGGTTTTACTGCAGCGATATATACATGGATTCTTTTCATGGAAAAAAGAATTGACCCTCCTATATTCCGTAATTAATACTATACTTACCTATTTTTTTTGCCTAATTCAAGGTTGTTTTAGTGCGTTGGTGCTTGCACAATGGTTCACTGTCGCATATTTCGTAACTACGATAATTAACATGGTTCACCGCGAGGTGGCGAGTGTAAGTCACACTTGGAGTCTACTTAAAAGTAGAGATGCAACGATACTTACGATAGCACCTTGTTGCCGATATTGATCCGATACCAACGAAAAAACGCCGATACCTATGCAAGTTCTGACCGAGTCCGACCTTGCTTAACTCTCGATATCAAACGAGATCGGGTGCATTCAAGTGGTATGGTCGTAGGCCGATACCAGGCCTGCCCAACCTTTTTCGTCTCGCGGGCCACTTTCAAGTGACGAAATTCGTTGCGGGCCGCAAACGTTTGTACCAAACATTAATACTCTACCAGCTAAGTCCTGATTTCGGTGTGGGTAATTTACATAATAAATAAAAGGCAAGTTTATTAACATCAAATCAATCAATTTAATTACTGTTTTCTGGTCACTGAGTAGGGCTGGCAAATAACTCGAATATCTCGTCGAATATTAGAATAGCAGTTCACAATTCGAATATCTGGTAACACGGGGCGTGAACAATGTTTAAATGAGCATAATGTGCGCCACTGTTGCGGGAATATCAAGTTTAGGTGGGCCGTTTCGTAAAATTTGAAACACCAATACAAATATTGAAGTAACATTACAAAGATTTCTGGGCGAACAGCCTATATATACTGATTTGTGACTAATATGCGGTAATGCCGTTAAGTCAATTTTATCAGAATTATTGACGGATACGCAGTGACGATATTTCCGAAATCGTATTTAACCCAAACATTTGATAAAAAAAAATACAAACATAAAAAGACAACGAGTCCCAGGACCAGTACCAAAGATATTGTTGACATTTTATTTTACGCTGGCGATAAAGACGATCAAAGCATACACGTAAGAAAACAATCATAATGAAACTAATTCGCAAATTTAGGCTCCAAATTCATTCCTATAATTGCGCTCAGCGTTCGTCCTCAGTGATCGCACAATATCTTTCGAGTTCGTCGAGCAGAACGTTCAGTTCTGCGAGAAAAAAAAAACTGACGTCGATGTCCACCAGGGTGCGAGACTTGACACATACGTAATAATAAGAACCGGCATTTGAATGTAGACAGATGGCAGGAATAATCACACCAAAATCAGAAACGTACCTAACCCTATATATTGATATATAACATAGTAAAAACATAAAAAGTCTGCTTACAAACTTTATAGGGCGGGCTGCAAAAAACAGTTCGGCGGGCCGCGGGTTGGGCAGCCTTGGCCGATACCATGTAATTATTATCTTAGGTGTGGAGGTGAGTCTGAGCAGTATTCATAGTACACATCATTTAGGCTTGAAAAGAGATAGGCTAATCCAGATAATAAGAAATTGATGTTTGTGATCCAGATGCATTGTGTACCGAAGCTAGTAATCTCGGTTTTCAATTAGAAAACTCATAGGGTTTGGCTACTATGGATGGTAAAATGAATAAACGTTTACTCATCCAATCAAATTGATACCTCAAGTTACGTGCGCAGGATTTTGTGCCAATATAACGTCGTATTTTACACATTGAAAAATCAACCTGTTCAAAAAATCTTGTTCTCGCTTCTACTCGCGGGGGTGGGGACGAGCATGGCTAATCAACTATAGTCAAATACCACGAACATGATCCCTCCATGAAAAAAAATCGACATCCGTATACTAACTTATCTGTTAATACAATATAGATTAGAATTAGATGATAAATCTTAATATATGGAAAATATCGGTCTACATTTATCCGAGACCGATACAAATACAGAATAATGGCCGCTATTGCCGATGCATCTCTACTGGAAACAGTTTCCTCGGGCCAGACCAGCTAATAAATTGAATTCGACTCCCGAGCCACGGGGATTCAAAACACGACTCTCACTTCGAAGCCAAATCTAAAACAGCGAAAACAAATCTTGGGTGCCGGTAGTGTCACTATCATTTACTTATTTGCGCATGTACTCTATCTATTATGATTATCACACAGGTATATATGGCAGCAACTGGATAGGATTTTCATGTAGGGAGAGGAAAGTCAATAGAACGACTTAGTCATGTGGCAAGCCACGTCCTCTGGTCCGGTTCCTAGTTCATGTCGGGTATAGAAATAGTTGGCCAGTTACACAACAAAACGCAGCCGACCTCCAGGCTCCAGCCCGTCGGCCGGAGGAAGAGATCAGAAGACACAGTTTTTCCACTCTCCACAGTCTATAAACATGAAATATATATACGATATATACAAAATATAAACGCGGAAGTTATGGTCCGCGACAATGGAGCTGATTGATTGACACCCTGGTATACTTTGGCAGCGACTGCCAAGTTTGTTTTTGTTTTAATAATAACTTGCGCAACTTGTGATTTCCAAGAGAGATTTTCATCAAAGACAACTCCTAAGAATTTTATTTTACTCACTCTTTCAATTTCTTTGCCATTGAGCAGCAAAGGTTTTGAGCAACTCGCATTTGCATGTCTGCTTGGATGAAATAATACTAATTTGGTCTTATGGGCATTAAGAGATAATTTATTATTAACCAACATTCACTTATGAACGTTGGTCAAGTCTATGTTTCCTATTATGAATAGTTTTTTCCCCGTACATAATCGAATCAGTGTCTTCAGCAAACATAATCGACTCAGAGCAGTCTAGATACCCACCTAGGCATGTCATTTATGTATGCTAGAAAGAATAATGGGCCAAGTAAAGATCCTTGAGGAACTCCGTGCTTCATGACGCAAATATTATTAGAGAATGAATTGTCATATTGCACAACTCATTTTCTTTCTTGTAGGTAGCTCCTGATCCAATTAAATGGGACACCCACAATTCCATAGTGACCGAGCTTACTTAAAAAGATAGAGTGGCCAATGGTGTCAAATGCCTTCGAAATATTCCAATGGACTTTTCCCCGAGCATCGACTTCCTTGTTTACTTTGTGACATTGGCCAATCAGCAAGGTGCAAAAAGTGACGTAACAATGCTCCCTTTCGCAACCAATCAGACACTTTTCTCACTCAGACAAATTTTCAAGTTTTTGAACTCCATTCGTTAGTTTTCAGTTGTTCGGAAACTTAAATATAAATCAG